CCCCCCCCCACCCTGACAGTGATGCGTCTGTGAAGACCGCCATGTGATGTGTCGCTCTGCTCAGAGGGACTCCTACTGATAAGAGTGTGTGGCTTCCTCCAGTGGCTCAGATCCGCCTCCACTGAGGAGGGGATTGATACGATCCAGCGCTTGTGGCATATTGGATCGATCTTTAGCCAGGAGAACCACCGCTGTGAGTGTCTCGTGTGTAGCAGCCCGAGCGGAACCACCGTGTGGGCTGCTGTCATCATGCCCAAGAGACGCATGATGGTTAGAGCTGTCACTGACCTGCGGGGTCTGACATGCGCTAACAACGACAGCGGAGTCTCTTTTCTGGATTGGAACAGATGAGCTGTCATGGTGACTGAGTTCAGATCCACACCCAAATATGTAATGAGTTGGGCCGGAATGAGAGAACTCTTTTCCCAGTTTATGGAAAAACCCAGCATCCTTAGGTGTGCTGACAGTCTCTCCGTCTGTGATGCTGCTTCCTGTCTGGATGGGGCCAGCAGGAGCAAGTCGTCCAGATAAAACAGGATTCTCATTCCCACTGAGCGCAGAGGCTGCAGTGCTGTCTCTACGCACTTGGAGAAGCTGCATGGTGCCAGTGTGTAACCGAAAGGAAGATGGTTGTACTGGTACCGGGTCTGCTGAAAAGAAAAATGCAGGTATTTTCTGTGAGCCGGGATGACCGGGACATGAAAATATGCGTCCTTCAGGTCGATTGACGTGAACCAATCGCCTTACTGAACACATGTGAGCATCGGTTTGGTTGTCAACATGTGAAAAATCTTTTCAGTATGAATTTGTTGAAAAAACGAGAGATCCAGGATCGGTCTCATTGCATCCGTTTTTTTTGGGGACAAGGAAATACCGGGAATAAAAACCCTCGTATTCCTTCCCACTTGGAACTCTGGAAATGACTTCCTTGTTTAAGAGTTCCTGAAGCTCTGCTTGAAGAGCGAGATCTTGCTGATGAGACGACAAGTGGGTCTCCAGGATCCCGCTGAACTGGGGAGGCTTGGTTGCAAACTGCAGCCTGTAACTCGTTTTTATCAAGTTTTTCATCCACTTGTCCATAGGACAAGTGTTTTCATCCACTTGTCCATAGGACAAGTGTGTTCCCAGACGGAGCTGCGCTCTGAGAGAGCTCGCGCATGCGCCAGTAGTAGAAGGTTGTCGTAGCAACCGATCCACTCAGAGCCTTCGCCGCTGTCACGCTCTCTCATGTGACCCATGGGAGGCTTTGCTCGAAAGGGCTGTGCAGGAGCTCCGGGGAGCCCTGCGCGCCACTGTTTGAACGCGGCCCGGGAGGGGTTGCCTCCGGGGCCGTACGTGAGCATGAGTTAAGGCGAGTTTCAGCGGAGCCAAACACAGCGCTCATCGCACCTCTGTGATTGGTGGATTCATGCTGAAACGAGGCGGGGTGACACGCCCCTGCTTGTGATGTGGCTCGTGCTGCCTGTCTTCTCTTACGTCCGCTGTTCACCGGCGGGGTGAAGAGAAGAGTGTGTGTGTGTTCGCCGGCCACGAGGGGGCAGAACGGACCACCGAACGTGGAACGGTGGGAGAAGACGTTTTTGTGTGTGACTGTGTTTAGCAAGGACCAGGGGCCAGCTAGTTTCAGAACTAGCAGACCTAGTCTTACCCATACACATTTCTCCTGCTTGCAAACCATGATGCAGGACGCAAACCAAGCCTAAACAGCGCAAAGATTCAAACTCGGGCTGGCCTCTGTGCTGAGGTCCCGTCACGTTTTTGTTGACACCTGTGTACACCTGTTCACGGCCTGGAGAGTGATGTTGTTGGTTGCAGCACGGTCCGAAAAAATGGTCCGAAAAAATCTGAAAAAGCTTCCAGTCCAGTCCTGGCTGGAAACGTCGATGTCTGAAGGCCTTACCTACTAGCTACCACATCTGTGTAACGAGTGAGCTAGTAGCAGCTATGAAAAAACGGGGACTTCTGTGGAAGCACGAAGGTGTCCGAAGATGCCCGGCGCCTTAGCTTAGCATAATACCGCACCGCAGGGACACCCGCAGGAAAAACATATGCTAGCTAACCACGATCAACCTTCTCTGAGGAAGGAGACCGGAGTAAAAAACGGGTTGTGCCAGGGAAAGCCAAACCCCGAGCAGCCCGTAAGGACGGCTACGCGGATCATAGCTCGGTGGTGCCGGACACTAATTCCATGTCAATATAAAAGGAATCATAGCACTTACATGTATGTGGCGTCTTCTATGGTTACATGTCAAATGCCGAAGCTGAAGAAAAAGGGGGAGCTGAACTCAGGTCCGTCCTCCCCTTTTATACGGACCGAGGCGGAACCCACAGTACGTGGATGTAGACTATTGGTTCTTCAGAATGCGCGAGCTCGCGCGGGGGTACCCATCAGCGATACCCTTAGAGGGAGGAGCTTACACAAAATAGAACAATGTATTTTTTATTGTTTTTTTCTTCCACAAGTTTATAAAGTGCTCTTCTTTTCTCACTACCCAGAACTAAAGTGTGATACTGAAAGTAGTGTCACTAATGTATGAAGTACAACAGGTGTGAACCCATTCAACTCTTTACGTTGAGAGCTTCCAGTGACTGACAGATGGAGTGGGTGGGCTGTCATATGTGATGTGAGGCTTTTGAATTGACTGGCTGCTACAGCATTTACATTCTTGGTAAATGGACTGAACTTATAGAGCACTTTATCAAGTCCCTCCGGACCCCAGAGCGCTTTATACTTACAGACATTCAACCATTCATGCACACATTCACACACTGATGATGGTAAGCTACATTGTAGCCACAGCTGCCCTGGGGCACACTGACAGAAGCAAGGCTTCCATGCACCGGCACCACCAGACCCTCTGACAACCACCAGTAGGCAAGGTGGGTGAAGGGTCTTGCCCAAGGACACACTGACTGAAATGGCTGGACGGGGAATCGAACCGTCGACCTTCTGGTTTCAGGACACCTCCTCCTAACTACTCCACCAAAGTCTCTCTCTCTCACACACAGAGAGAGAGAGAGAGAGAGAGAGAGAGAGAGAGAGAGAGAGAGAGAGAGATTTGTAGCTTTTATTCTTTACATCATGGCAAAGCGGTCATACAAGAGTTTCAAAAGTGTTCCTGAAACAACAACATGTGGGGTAAAAAAGGTTGTTGCCTGCTGACTGACCTCCATGTCAAATTTCAAGCTAAAATGATTTATTAACTTGATGTACTGGTTAAAACGTTTAAAATCCTGGTAATGAAAGAAGATGTAGACAACTCAAAAGTAATGAAAATGTGATCAGTTTAGTAAATGGTATTGGAGAGAAACAGCACGAGCAAACATTTCAATTGAACATCTGAACTGCTTGGTTTGGGATTCCAAGGCATTCCCAGGTCAGAGAGGGAATKCATCTGTGGAGTCTAATCCTAATCTGATGCCCAGAGCACATCATCTGATTCTTTTTGATGTGGAGGAGCAGCAGTTCTTCTCTGAACTCATACTGAATGATAAAGATACTTGCCCTATCTTTATTCCTGAGTCCAGCCATTATTTGAAGCAAGTTCACTTCAGACTCACGTATCTGAGATCTTATTCTCAGGAACACTGGTGAGAACTGAAATATTCAGGGGAGCCAAACGTGAAGCCTGCTTCCTGGGGCTCAACTGGGCCATGCTCAAATATGTTAAAGGAAACCACTTCACATTGGGCCCACCATCTGTTGGCAAGAAGTTAAGCTTGGTGTCGTGTTAGCTGAGTGATAAGTGAGGGCAAGAGCTTTTTGTTTTTTTTAAAGATAATACACTGAATAATAGCTTAAAGTGTACAGTTTGTTTAAAGTATTTTTTAGCTCAATTTAGATTTTTCCTTTTGCTTTGAAGGAAATTATGTGAATGTTTTTGATTTTTTTATTTTTTTCATTTTGATTGATTTATTCCAAACAAGTTAAATTCATTGCAGATGCATGTAAAGGTTAACACTAGTATGAATCTGTATATCCATGTATACATATAAACCTAGACATATACACACATGCATTGACACATTTTTGAAATGCTTGTACTTGTAAAATAAATCAGTAAATGAAACTATTGTAACTGAGCATTTGATTTAATGAAACATGAAAGTAGGTTCAAATTCACATTTCTGAATAAAAGAAAAGTTTTATTACAGTGTCAGGATTATTGCAGTATATTCATTCTGTGTAAGTGGAAGTGTTTTGGAAACAAAAGCTTGATGTTGGTGTTGTGTTACATTTTTATTGTGGGAAGATGGTTACTTTTATTTCCACTGTGGTCGTACATAAATGCCCTCACAAAAGACCAATCAGATGGTTGTACGTTTGTTCCCTCCCACTATATAAGGTTACATTACAGCAAATTGTCTTATGCTGTAGATTATTTCCTGWCAGAGACTGCAGCTACAAGTGGATTAATTGAAAATGCTGATGTTTTTATATTTACTGCTTATCCTCAGATTTGGACGTAAGTGTACAAGTTATTTTTCTTTCCACATATTGTGCACTTTTTTTATTATTTTTTTTCACCATGTCTTCAAATCTATTTCTAACTGCTTTGTTCATTTCTTGTTTCAGGATGTACCAATGATTTGATTTTAGAAACAAAAACAGTTGCTTTTGGAGATGAAGTGACGCTGACATGTCCGCGGCAGGCCTCTGATCTTAGAACATTTTTGTACTGGGTCAGACTTGTTTCTGGAAACTGGCCTGAGTTCTTGGGGGGAGCATACTCTTTTGATTATGAAGCTGTTAAAGTGTCTCCTCACATCACAACTAAACAAGAGCCAGGATCTTTTATTCTGCATATTGCCAACACAAAACAAAGTGACCTTGGTCTTTACTATTGTATAAAAGCCAAAGTGGTCAACATGACATTTATGAAAGGATACATTTTGATGAACGAAGGTAAATATAAATTTGTCTCCATTTTGTTTCTTAAGCAATTTTTAGTAGAATAAAGCAAACATGTTGTCTACATTTCTTTTAGAAACAAAGCCAAAACTTACATCTGTCATTCAAGACCCTCCATCTGATCCAGTTCAACCAGGGAACCTGGTGACTCTACAGTGTTCAGTCCTCTTTAACTTTGATACAAATACCTGTGGCTCAGATCACAGTGTTTACTGGTTCAGAGCAGGATCAGATCAGTCTCAGCCCAGTTTCATTTATGCCCATGGAAACAGTGGTGATGAATGTGAGAGGAGTCCTGAGGCAAAGTCGACACAAAAATGTGCTTACAGCTTCTCTAAGAACGTCAGTACCTCTGATACTGGGACTTACTACTGCGCCGTGGCCACATGTGGACAGATACTGTTTGGAAATGGAACTAAACTGGACAGTGAAGGTAAGGCTTTGTGGCAGGACATAGAGAATACAGAATCTGAGAAAATAGAATATTTTTGTTCATTTATTCTAACTAAAATATTTATCAAAAATGCCTTTTTAAGAATAGTTAATTAATGAGTAACTTCTGATATTTTCCCAGAGTTAAATGTGTGGAATCTACAGAAAACAGTTCTCTTTTTGTTGTCTGCTGGTTTGATTGCCAGTGTGGTTGTTATATCCATCCTCACTTGTATCATCAAAAAGAAAAGTTGCAATTGTTCTAAAGGTATGTCATCATGCAAAAAATAAAATTTAACAACATTTTATCGTAATTCGTATCAAAGTAATTTTTGCTTTTTGCTGTAGCAGCCAGTGGGGATCAGCAAAGTCAACAGGTAAAGTGAAAAGAGAGACTCTCTGCATGTTTGATTAACTTCTATAACTCTCACCGCTTTTTTCTAAAAAGAAAAAATGCATCTTTTTTTCAGAGAGATGAGAGGTCTTTGGTTTACTCAGCACCAACATTCACTCAAAGAAAAAGTCAAGGAGCAAAGAGAAGAAAAGCAGAAACTTCAGGGTCCGTCTACACTGATGTCAGTACTTTAGAGACAGAAAAGTAATTTTGTGAATGTGAAAAACATTTCATATCTCTCCTCACTTTATTCTAAAAAAATGTGTCTTTCCTCAGAGAGATGAGGGGTCTTCGGTTTACTCTGCACTCGCATTCACTCAAAGACAAAGTCGAGAAGCAAAGGGAACTGTACAATGTTAGAGAAAAAGACACAATTACAACAAAACAACATAGAATGATGGAGCTGCTGTACTGAACTGTTTGTTGTAAATAATTTGTCTTAGACTGTACTTAGACTGACCATCAGGCTCCATTCTTCATAATGACTTGACCGTAACAGTAAGTTTAGATCATACCAGTTACCCTTTGATAAGC